GGGGGGCAAAAAAATCGATTAACTTTCCAAGGGGGGGGGCACAAAATTTTTAGTAATGTTTTACAGTTTTAATGTAGTTTTAATTTACTGTAGAGTATTTGTATGGTGAACGAACGGACAGGACATCAGCTTAGTTACTTTCTCTTTACTTTAATACATTTTTGTCTATTTTTTTTTATCCACTCAATCAGGTGGGGGGGGGGGGGCAAGTGCCCCCCTTTGCGGGTGCCCATGCCTGAAGGTTATTTTCGAATAAAAGATGGGTTCTTTTGTATTAGTATGTTTACAGAATAGCGGCCGTCCATAAAGTACGTCGCGCTCCAGAAGGGGGGAGTGGGTGTAAGAAAGTGTGACAGTTTGTGACGGGGCGAGGGGGTCAGGCCATGTATGACGTCACACATTTAAAAAAAAAAAATTATTTCTAATTTATTTTTATTTTTTAGTGGAATTTATTAGCTTTAAAAATAATTTTCTAAAATTGTGTGTATCATTTGAATTAGTTTTATGTCAAAATAGCATGAAATGCGTATCTCCTGAATGTGTCGTTCACGATTCCTCTCGCTAGGAGCGCTAGTATGCTGTTGCGAAGCCTTGTTTTATGTATAGCTTTGCTTTCGTCTTTCCTGAAGTATAATTTCTATGTTGTCCGCTGCATGAATATGTCATGTCCTTTTTATTATTTAATCATTTGGTGTGGTCAAGTTTCTCTAATATACTTCTTAACCTGTGTAAAAAGATTGCATAATCGGAAGATTATCTAAACTCGACCTCACCTATTGTAAATGAAAAAGCAGCAGATAAATGATGTGTATGAGTATGATATAATTGTCTAGTCTAATTTTTGCAATTTTTGTTTTCATTTTCAATCTAGATTGAGTTCCTGCTTCAATAAGTAACTGTGACAACTGTTGACAATTAACTATTTTACAATATAAAGTAATTTTAATAATGTGATAGTGGAAATTAAGTGGAAATTTTATATTTTAATACAATTTAATAGTGAAGTGTATTTTAGATTAAATTTTAATTAGGTGTTAATTAAAAAAAAAATTGTTCGAAAGTGTGACGTACTTGGGGGGGGGGGGGGCCCGAGATTTGTGACAGTGGGGGGGGGGGTAAAATGGTCAAAAAAGCGTGACGTACTTTATGGACGGCCCCATAGTATGTAAATGATGCCTAAAATGCTATGTGGGAGAAACTGGGCGACGACTGGCTGATAGGTTCGGTGAAAATCTACGTAAAATCGCTCAAGGCTAGCGATGGCCCGTCTCTTCTCACTTCAATAAAGCTTAAAAGTAACCACCAAAGGCTCGACAGTGATGTTTCCATTTATCTTTGTTTCCTCTACCAACACACAAGCAAGGGTAAGTTTGGAAAACTGACTGATACACTCATATGGCACACTGACACCACACGGCATGAATGAATATCATGTACTCTATGGAGCCTAAAATTGGAGAGCAACAGCGAGCATCGAACAGACAGTACGGACCTTCACAACCACTTGCCTGAGAAAGATAATGAATTTAAAATGGCTAAACATCATCACCAACAAAGACATACTGGAGAGGACATATCAATGTCCTCATATGGCACACTGACACCACACGGCATGAATGAATATCATGTTCTCTTTTACTTGCTCACTCTTCTCTCTCCACCCCTTACATATATTTACATGATAGGACTAATCACAGAGAAGTTCCCTTTCCATATGACCTAAATATTTAAGTATCTCCATTGTCTTCTTCTCTATGTCTTCCTGTAAATCAGTGGTTCTCAACCTTCCTAATGCCGCGACCCTTTAATACCGTTTCTCATGTTGTGATGACCCCCAACCATAAAACTATGTTCGTTGCTCCTTCATAAATGTGTTTTCCGATGGTCATAGGCGACCCCTGTGTAAGGGTCGTTTGACCCCCAAAGGGGTTGTGACCCACAGGTTGAGAACCGCTGTTGTAAATGTTTCATTCTTTATATCTGGATTAAATTATTAAAATTTGTTGAATTCTCTATGTATGAATGAAGAGGGGCACTTACTGAAATATCCACAGTTTGTTACTTTGTCACGCTTAATGCCCATTTAAAAAGTAGAGATACTGGCATTACCTCCCTGGCGCAAGCTGCACACCAGAACAGCTGGCGACGCTTCATTTTACATTAATTTTTATACACAGATTACTTAATTTCTCCTGATGCAATCTGGCCACACTTTATTTTACATTAATTTTCATACACAGATTACTTAATTTCTCCTGATGCAATCTGGCCACACTTTATTTTACATTAATTTTCATACACAGATTACTTAATTTCTCCTGATGCAATCTGGCCACACTTTATTTTACATTAATTTTCATACACAGATTACTTAATTTCTCATGATGCAATCTGGCCACACTTTATTTTACATTAATTTTCATACACAGATTACTTAATTTCTCCTGATGCAATCTGGCCACACTTTATTTAACATTAATTTTCATACACAGATTACTTAATTGCTCCTGATACAATCTCCTTTTCAGTTTTATTAATTAAAATAATGCACCAAAGAATGTCCGTCCTAGACGCTGCAGTCGTAAGCAACTGTTCAAACCTTTCATCTCAAAGTATTACAATCTACAGATGGATCAGAAGCATATGTTAGAGCTGGATTTGGAAGGGCCAGGACGGCTTTTGAGCCGTTGAATAAAATATGGGAAACATAGGAGGCGAATCTGCAAACAAAAGTTAGGATTTTCAACACAAATGTCAAAGTTGTACTCTATGGAGCCTAAAATTGGAGAGCAACAGCGAGCATCGAACAGACAGTACGGACCTTCACAACCACTTGCCTGAGAAAGATAATGAATTTAAAATGGCTAAACATCATCACCAACAAAGACATACTGGAGAGGACATATCAATAGCCTATCACTGAAGGCATCATAAGGAAAAGATGGAGGTGGATGGAGCATACCCTTCGATAACTCCCAGGAAACATCACCAGACAATCCCTAAATTGGAACCGAGAGGGTAAAAGGAAGAGAGCAAGTCCAATTGATACATGAGGCACACTATGGAGCTAGACACACTAAGTATGGGATACGCCTGGAAAGAAATGCATGGGACTGAGATGAATGCAAAGCACTTTAAGACAACCGATGCCTTAGGGGCGGTGAAAGGCATAAGTATGTCAGCAGGTCAAAGTTCAGCGATGTTCAAATAAATTTGATTATACTTAATAACGTCATATGTGGGGAAAAGAAATAAAGTAACTAATAGTTATAGAATAGATATTTAACAATTTATTTTATTTATAAAATAACATGTCTTTCACACTTCAATAACATTAACATCAATCACTTTTCAAACTTAGAAGTTCTTGTTTTATGTGACTAGGAAGGCGAACAATCTTCTTTTTCCTTCTTCTTTTCCCTTTAACCACTCCACAGCCAGAGACACTATTTGACACTTGCTTGCGTTTTGACTTTTTACAAGACAAAGGATTAGGCTCTTTCTTTTTCTTCTTCTTCTTTTTAAATTCTGGATCTGCAGGTAAGTTCATTTCTTGCTTGAGCTTTGCAATTGCTGCTTCTTGTTTTTGTGATAGAGAAAGTTTTTGCGTGGTTTTTTCTTCCGAAATTTTTTTTGAAACGTCAGATGGAGCTTCAAGATTAATTGAATTGTGGGATATATGTAGAAGGGGGACATTGTGTTCTCGTAGACTGCTTGCTAATTCTTCATCCTGCATTTTAAAAAAAAAAAATTGTATTTTTACTGGTTGAAGGTTATAGCTTTTAAATTATCCAATTCCCCCCCCCCCACCACCACCACACACCTTACTTTAAAATTAATAAATAGATGGAGTCAATGACCTCAGAGTCTAAATTCTATAACTATCACATCTCCTACACATCTAGGAAAATTAGCAAAAATCTCTCCCAGCTGAGAAAGCTGCCGGTTTATTTATAAAGAGAAAGTTGAAACCCTCCAGAAAAGAAATTCTAGAAAATGCATCATGCAATAGCCTTCTTAAGAGCCCAGTGGTTCCCAAAATGGGCATCTTGTCGCCTGTAGGTGCCTCATTATATATGAAAGGGGCAACCCTTTGTTTAATAAATATGTAATCAGTATCTCAAAGTAGTGTATTTGTTAAAATTTGATATAGTGCACCTTGTGAAAACCTAAATTTGGCAAGTGCTAAAATAATTTTTTTTTAGGAACCACTGGTGTATCCAAACAAAATTAAATGAATGGGTCATGCACATAAAACATACAAAAGTGCTACCCCCATTCCATGAAGTATTATGTAATAGAGGTGAAACAATGTCATTATGCCATACCTGCGTAGCAACTATAATTCTGCTCTTATCTTTAAGGGCAGCCCGTTTCAAACATTTGACACTGCCTTTGAACCAAGCATGAGGGCAATCAATGACATCATACTGACTGAGAACTTTAAAGGGACCATATAGCAGAGACCCTGTTTAAAAGACGTAAGGAATTAACAATTTAATGGCATAGCTTTGAAAATTTATCATTTGACTAATCATTTGAATAATTTTAAAGCATTAATACTTTACTTCACCTTTGTGTAACAACACTTATGCCTTTCAGAAATAGTCATGTTAAAAGAAACTAAACCCATAATAGAGAATCACTTTAAAAAAATTGGGGACTCCCTCTCAAACAACACACACATACAACCCCACCCCCAATTTATTAATGGAGGAAGGCTTCAGTAATGTTTTTAATTCATGAATGATGATTTTATCAAATAATACAATTTTTAATGGAAGGCTTTGGTAATGTTTTTAAAGTAACTATGTAAATAAGAACTGTGCCCCCTCCCACCTCCAAGGTTCCGGATGTTCTTTTAAATAATTTAACACTTCATTGCAGAAAAAATCTCTTGGATTAAAGAGCTTTCTACTGTTGAGGTTAACTCCTTATGTGCTGTAGATTTTCATGTAAAAATGTTGAGATTTTCCCCACATCTGGATTCTTATTTACTGAAATTTTTTGCTGAACATATGATATTATACCATATTTATTTACCATATCTGTTGCCAACTCATTTTAATTTCCAAATGTTTTTTTAATATGTTATTCTGAGTCAGAGGGTCAAAAATGTATAACTCTTGATATTTTAACCAAAGTAAAATTATTTTGTTCTGTTTAGAATTTTTAAAATTTACAGCTAATTCAACAGACAGAAAATGAAATATTATTTAATGATAACCCACCTCCCAGTTCACATTCTTTTAAAGCACACTTTGTTGTGACCAACTTCACCTCCCCATTCAGATATTTTGGGAGCTGTTCTGCAATATTTATTTTGTCCATCAGCGCTTGTTTACAAAATGTACCACACACCTGAAATTTATTTTTTTTATAATGCAATTTGTAATTGATTATATTTTATATACTGTAGACTTAATAAACAAGAGAGATTCTAAATTGTTACCCTTTCCTACATTCTTGTGTTTTTATATACAACACTTAAAAAAAAAAAAAAAAACAATCTTGGTAGTAAAGCAGAGTATTTTCAGGATATTTTAACTTTTGCATTGGAGAAATAAAAATAGAATGACAGAAAAAAATTAACACAGTTCAGGAATAAAATAAAAATTAATTTAGTTTAATACCTCTGTTGACTGTATGGTGAATGGAGAATGAATGGCTCTTAAATATTCAGAATCTTAAATTAAAATATACTTACAAGAACAAAGTAGGGTGGCTTTAATCCAAAATGTGTGTAGTAAAAGGTCAAAATACGTTTTGCTTTTTTATATCTTGACTTCATGTTGGATTATCCCTGATATTCTTTGGTAGAGATTGAAAAATTTCTTTTTGTATATTCTAAAGAGAAAAGCATTTAAAAGCCATGATTACCTATATTTTTGCATGTAAATTAGAAACTTTGTTATTTTTAAAAGAGGAGCTGATTTTAAGAAAACACTTTAATTACTTATTCATCTTTTAGAAACTAAAGAAAATCAATATTACTAAGTCTTATGAGAAGTTTTTCATTCTTTTCTTTTTTAAGAAGCATATTTTTCAACATCACATAATCATTGGTAATCATTTCATATTAGGGCTAAATCAAATCTTTATTTCTTAACTAATTATGTCTCCTCAAATTTGACTTTTAATTTTAGTACATGATGCAGACTTACTAATACTACACAACTATCAGTACGCCATATAACAATATATTATAATAATTTATGACAATGACTAGCTTCACATTCAGTCACATTCTTTAACAAATGAGAAGCATCAATTGGATCAAATCAAAGGAAAGGGAGTAGGTGTGACTGGGGGAATAAAAGGGTGGGGGTGGAGGTACTACTTTTACTCCCATTTTCTGGCACTAATTTTATAGTTTATATATTCCATAACCTAACTATAGATTGTTATAGGCCTAGCTAACAAATAGTATAGAAGGCCTAAAATTATTTGTACCGTCAAGACTATGATTATAATTATGATTATTTTTTTTTGGCAGGGTAGGCTAAATTAAATAATATATAAATATAGTATTAATATAATATTTTTAGGCCTGGCCCTATGCCTATATAATATAGATAGTTAACGAAACTTTATTTTATGTGTAGAATAGTCTATGAATATAGGCCTACTGAGCCTACTCATTAGACTTTAGACTAAGTAAGTAGTAAGCAAGCATAGGCATAAGAGGAAGTAGACCCCTTATTGACATTGACTATATTAGTTAGTTATAAGTCAAGTTGGCTAATGCTGGAAAAGGATGCCAAGACGTCTTTTGCGTGTTTATTAAAGTTAAAGTTGCTTTGAATTAGGGTTCAGGTTAGGTTTAGGGGTACATTTAGGGTTCAAGTTAGGTTTAAGGATACATTTACTTAGATTTAGTGACAGAATTAACTGGTCTTGTCAACCAAGATGGCGGCCAATCATGGCATCCTTTCTCAACATTATATAATAATATAATAGACTTATAACAATAAGTTATATACTTAATAATAATAGATTCAGTTAACTTAGTAGACAGTTCCTAACTTACTATAAATAGTATAAAGTTAAAATTAAACTATAAAAAATAATGTAAATGATAAATGAGTAGGTCTATTATAGTCTATTTATATTATAAATATTATATTTAGCTAGGTTAGTGCTGGATGGGGCAAGATTACCCTCCCCACTTTCATGACCAAAAACTCCCACTCCCACCCCTTCATTTTCATAGTCCATATAAATTATATATAAAATTTAAATTATTATAGTAACTTTAAGTACGGTAACTTAAAGACTAAGCCTACTTATACTTCCAAATATTTAAAAAAAAATTAAAGAACTAATATTACTAATAACTACTTAAGACTTAAGATTACTAAACTTACTAAACTAAGAATGCTTCTGGGCCTGAGCCGTGCTACTTGACACTTGACTTGGGTAGCGCCCCTCCTTCCTACACCACCACTACTTGGCAAAGAAATAAAATCAGTGACTTAACGATATGAAGTAAAAGAAACAAAATTAGTGATTTAAAAAAAAATGAGAACTGGTCAGACGTAAATCAAAAAGTAACGTGTGAAGTTACAGTTTTACTCAAGCACCTCAACTACTTTAATTCATTCATATTTAATTTGATCTTCGCTACAGAAGATTGTTCTCGGTGTCTCTATTTGCCGGGGTAAATGGATATTGTTATAGATAGCATTGAGGACAGGTATTTTTAAGCCTTACTTAAATGGCTAAGCTAATGGGCTATTTTAGCACATAAATAACAATACAGGCCTAATAATTTAACTATAAATTCCAAAATCAACGAAGATCCTATTATGAATATCTATCAGCATTAATTTAATCATTAGATATGAAAAGACCCTTTAAAAAATATGTAATCGCCACTGAGAAATAAACTTCATAATTTTGATTGACTTTAAATTAAGTCGGTTGTGTTGAAAATTTTGCTTAAAATAAAATTTAAAAGGAATTGAATGTTACCATTTACTTGATTCAAATACTTTGGCTTATTCTAACAAAGAACTCAAAAAAAAAAAAAAGGGTGACGCTTTATTTAATAAAGTATGAAGTACATAAGGGTTATCTTCAGTTAATGATTGTAAGAGATGTGGGGGTTAGCTTAAATGTTTAAAAATAAAAATTAAAAGGAATTGAATGTTACCATTTAATTGATTAAAATAATTTGGTTTATTATAAAAAAAAAAAAAAAAAAAAAAAAAAAAAGGGTGACGCTTTATTTAATAAAGTATGAAGTACATAAGGGTTATCTTCAGTTAATGATTGTAAGAGATGTGGGGGTTAGCTTAAATGTTCTTAACTAAAACAATACCAGTTTTTTCAAGCAATATTATACAAAAAATGTAGTCCTTTATGCAAACCTTTAAACCAGGTTTCCTTAAACGTTTCTTAGTCCCTTTGCATGTCAGATAAACCTTAAGCGCCCCCCCCCCCACCTTTTAATTTCTGAACCTTTTCACGGCCTCCGTGGAGTCAGGTGAGGGAGCTCTAATTTGAATTTTGCAAATTGAAATTGTTCTTCGCTATCTCTAACGTAAGTAAAATATTTGTTTTTGGTATTTATTGAATAATTGGCTAATTCGTTTTAACACAAAAAAAAAAAAAAAAAAAAAAAAAAAAAAAAATTATACGAATTCAAAGTTTAGGATGATCTTTTATTTTAACTAATCCAAAATGTAATGAACTAATAAAATAATATTAGTTGTAATATAAAAAAATAATAAGAGTGGTGATAATATAATAATAATGATATAATTTGCAATACAAATATAAAATAATATCGAATAGCAGTAGATGTTAAAAATTGTATAATATATTTTTTCAATTTGGGCATAAACAGGATGACTTATTGATATTTAAAATTTAAAACATAGCTGATTTACGAATTTTAAAAATATGTTTTATTACGCATATCTTAAGTTTCAAAATTAATGTTTATTACAAAAATGTATAGCATATTACGAAAAAAAAATATATTTATGTATCTCAAGTATTATGAAATGGCTTGGTAATAATTATTAAAGCTCTCATAACTGCATAAATATACAAGAAACGTCAACATTAACCATTATTTCACATGAAATATTTGTTTGACTGCCATAAAAATAGAGTATCTCGAATTGATTCCACGTATACCTTAAATTTCGGTAAAAAATAGCACCTGTCTAGTCTAACCTGTTTTGCGGAAGTTGGTTCTATGAGAACACAAACATTGATGTCCGTTCTTACAGAAAGAGCAAACAAAATTTGTGTCATTTTAACAAATTTAAAGAGATGAACCGATCTGAAAGTCTCAGATCGGATACTGCAATGTCATCTGTCTTGGCCATTGATCCTGGTGCCAGCAGTAGTACAAGCACCAGCAATACAAACACTAGAAGTGTTAGAATCAATGTAATGGAAGGAGTTGGTGCCAGAGTTGTGAGAGGTCCTGACTGGAAATGGGGTAAACAAGACGGAGGAGAAGGACACATAGGAACTGTGAGGAATTTTGAATCACCTGAAGAGGTGGTCGTTGTTTGGGATAATGGAACTGCAGCTAACTATCGCTGTGCAGGAGCTTATGACTTGAGAGTATTAGACAGTGCTCCAACAGGTTTGTACTTTTAAATTTAAATATTTGGGTGCATATTTTGATGTTTGTTGGTTATATTATAAGTGAGATTTTAAGGAAAGTCTGGAACCTAATATTGCAATCTCAAATGAAAAAAAAGATCTGGATGATTCATCATTGATCTTATTTCACATTTACTTGACTTAGCACATCCATATAAAAAACAAAATACGATTAATGTGTGAATATATAAGAATCAGGGCTATCAGCAAAACATTTTGAATGATGTAAATGTAACCAATTCAAGTATTAAAAAATTGAATGTGAATTTAGTGCCACGACTGATACGGTTTAGTACAACTTATTTCAGTTCAAATGTCATTTCTATTCAAATCTGTTGTGATTGAATTTTACATTTTCCTTCTTTTATTATTTATGGAACTTTGAATGAACTTAACTGTTTGCACGATCATTAAACTGTGGTACACAGAAATATTTTCATTTATGGCCCAATTTCTTGCATGTCATATAGAAAAAAAACACAAATTGCAAGTGTTTTTCTGAAACAATAAGACATTTTAAACAGTGTATCATACAGCAATAAAATTTTAACTGAATAAAGTTGCCTCAAATTTCTATGTCAAAGCAACTTATAACATGAGCGGGGGTGAGTATTTTATTCAGTGATTTGAAACTGATGAAAAACAAGGTCAAATTTTGAGAAGTTAAATATCAATGAAAGTTGCGCTGAAAATAATTATTTGTCCACCTAAGTCTGGTAAAATCATAAATCAGATACGTCATTTTGTTTATATTGGTATATGTACAGAATAATCCCTAGAGGTAGAGCTTAGTTTAACTTAACCTGTATTTTTTTGTCTTTAAAAAAATTGTCAGGTTTTTACATAACGTAAGATAGGAAAAGATAAGATTCTTTGTTGATCCAGATAAATTGTAATGTTTTTTTAATTACATTGTGTGTATTCAATTTCAGCCACATAAATAAATACAACATTTTACAATTATAACAATTTAAACACAAGAATCTAAAATATTTCTCTATCGTAGAAATCAGCCATAAATGAACTCCCTTAGCGACAATACTTACTTAATTAATGATCATTTAGATTTGGTAAGCACTGGGGGAGCACACTGGTAAATTTTTACTGACTTTCATCCTGCACCATCTCCTCAAATTTTCCCTTCTCCAACCGAAAACCTTTCTCTCAAAGACGTAATCTTTTGAAAAGATGTGCACCATTTTTCATGATCATTATGATGTAAAGATGTAGTGCACCAAAAATTTGCCATGATATAGTAGTTGCAATTTTTCTCAGTGATCCAAAATAATAGAAAAAAATTATGTTTATTTGGTGATCTGTTTTTTAAATTTATTATTTTGTTAAAAAAAAATATTTTATATTTTTTTAAAGCGGATGGGAGTAGTTGGGAGAGGGCATGAAAACAATAGAACAATGTCTTTAAAGGTGCAAATTGATCTGGGGAGGATATTAGGATGGGAGAGCTCAAGGGTAGGATAGAAATAGGGGGGATTGTGGAAAGTGTGGATGAGGTTGAGGTAGGTGGTGCCAGGGGTATTGATCTAGAGTCAGGCTTTTGGAAAATGGCATGGGGCTTTTGGATACAAGTTACTGAAAACATGGGCACCTTGTGCTTACATTTTTTTGTCTGGAAAAACTATGTGTATAATGAGATTACATAGTGATATAGTAGAGTAGACATACATGACAAGCTAGGGGGATTTACATGGTCAAAGCCAGGTTAAAATTATAGTTAGGCTATAATTTATGAAATTACAAAATTACAATACACTGTGCCTGTAATACTTCAGAGTCTCCATTTCGTATTAACAGGTGGGTGGTTTGTGAGGAATTTATGTGAGAATTAAGAAATGACATGAGATGGTTGAGTGGGGATATTTGTTTATGTAGAAAAACAAATGTAGATTGCAAACACAATTTATAAACATGCATAGTGTATAATTTTGCTTTCTTTTCTATTTTTAAAAAAAGTTTTCTTAATATATAATAAAATGTATCAGTAAGTTTCAGATGGTGTTAAACATTTTGAAATTATAATATATGTTAATAACGCATTGTCTGTTTTTATTTCTTATTAAAGGAATCAAACACGATGGAACAATGTGTGATACCTGTAGACAGCAGCCAATATTTGGCATCAGATGGAAGTGTGCTGAATGCCCTAACTTTGATCTCTGCTCCGTTTGCTACCATGGAGACAAACATAACATGCGTCACAGGTTTTACAGAATTGCCAACCCTGGAAATGAAAGGTTAATTCAAAAGTATAAGCAACTGAACTTTCTTGTATTACATTTCAACCAATATATTTAGCTATATTACGATGACCTTGTTGATTACCACTCTATAAAATAAACACATGATTTTTTAAAAATCTTGAAATTTATTTATTTCAGACTAATTTTATAGTGTGGACAGAAAATTACTGCTATCTAATTATCCCAACAGGGCAGTGTCTTACATAAATTTCAGAATTTTGCTCTGCTATTTTCAGAATTCTCATTGAGCCTAGAAGGAAAGGCAAGAAAATAACTGCGAGGGGCATTTTTCCTGGTGCTAGAGTTGTAAGAGGTGTTGACTGGCAGTGGGAAGATCAGGACGGAGGGAATGGCAGGAGAGGAAAAGTCACAGAGATACAGGTTTTGAATATTATCAAAAATATTTAATTGAATATACCCATTAATTAAAATTAAAAAATTTTTTTTCTAAGTCTCTAATTTTGTATTCTAAAATTTTTTTTTTTATAAACTTTTATCTACACCAAAATTAATGATGTTGATGTCCTCTAGGACTGGAGCGCAGCAAGTCCCCGCAGTGCCGCCCATGTTCTTTGGGATAATGGTGCAAAAAACCTGTACAGAGTTGGATTTGAAGGAATGGTATGTTGTAACAATCTAATGCTATCAATTACAGAATTAGAAAGGGCAAAGTTTCTTGTCCATTTTGTGTTTTTGATTAATTTTTTTCAAAAAATCTGCTCAGATTACATGGAGTCTCAGACCTAGTTATAATTATTGTTCATTTATTTTAAATTTAAGTTAGAACTCAAGAAAAAATAATTTTTACAAAATTATAAAAAGCTTTGAATTTTTATGGTTCAATTATTTAAAAAAAAAAAAGAATATTGTTTAATGAAACTATTATTTAATCCAAATTTGCACCATATTCCTTAATAACAACAATTGGCATATTTTCAGGCTGATTTAAAAGTGATGAATGATGCAAAAGGGGGATCTTTCTACAGAGATCACCTACCTCTTCTAGGTTAGTTAAGCAATAATTTAAAAATATTTGCTTCCCCAATATCTCACTTCTAAAAGCCTTGACAAAAGTATTCATGCTGAAGATGCTATCCTGCTAAATATAATAATTTGTTTTGAAATATTTTGGCAAATGAATTTTAAAAAACTTGTAGTGTTTGCTTAAAAAGGCTATTGCTCATTTTTCAACAAATGGGTGAATATATCTGCTGATCAAATGCATTTGTTTATTCTCTTGCCTTTTAGGAGAGCAAGGTCCTGGGTCACGTTCAGGACCTTGTGGGCTGGCCATTGGTGACCAAGTTAATGTTGACCTAGATCTGGAAATTGTTCAGTCTCTACAGCATGGCCATGGTGGTTGGACAGATGGAATGTTTGAGGTAAACTTCTTTATTTAAATCATAAGTTTTATTTAAATCTACAGTTCAGTAACCTTTAAATCTACAGTTACCAAACCTTTAAATCTACAATTATGTAACCTTTAAATCTACAAACAATATAATACACCAATTGTCCTTATAAAAGAAATCATTTGGAATATTGGAGAAAAAAAAATTAAGTACTTGTTATTCTTGAACTTTAAAACATAACGACCTCAACTATTTTTAAGCATAATTTTTTTTTTAGAAAACAACTAGCTTGTCTTTTAATTCAGGTAAAGAACTTGCCCTTAACTTGTGCATAATGGGAGCTGATGTTCACTTTCAAAAGTGTTTTCAGAAGTGGCTAATGGATTTTTTTTTCTTTCTTTTGAGTTTATATTTAATGACTAAGTTTGAAAATAAATGAATCATCACTTAAAACTCGATTCTAAATGAAAATGTATATAAAAATTTATTATTATTTTTAACCTAGATTTTTAAAAATGTTTATCCAGTGCTTAGGTACAACAGGCACTGTCGTTGGAATAGATGAAGATCATGACATTGTTGTCTCCTATCCAAGTGGTAACAGGTAAACAATTACCATTATTATTATTAGTGGTTTCATGTAGCGCGGTACCCAAGCCTAATCATGAACTTAAAAATTAACATAAATTAATTAAATAAAACAAAACTAATGTATATTCCCTCCACCCATTCCAGAACAATTTGCATATCAAGCCATGGATGACACCCAGTTTGATCAGTTTCATATATGGTGCAAACTAGAGACCGACCAAATATCGGCTTCGGTTTCGGCGCCGAAAGTGGCCATTTTATCACTTTCGGCCAAGTTTCGGTTTCGCCCGAAACTGAAAAGTTAACTTTCGGCTTAATTTTGGTTTCGGCCGAAATTGACGTAGACTTTTGGCAATGCGGTCGAAAGTGACTGAGGTTTTCCGTCATCTAATACTCGGCGAAAGCGATATTTAACAACAAACTTAGCGACATTTAAGAACAAACTAAACGATTTTTAAGAACAAATTGAGCGATCTTTAAGAACAAACTAAACAATCTTTAAAAAAAAATAAAGTGATCTTTAAAAATCAATATAGCGATGTTTAACAACCATGAACAGAACAACAATTTTGAGAGACCCAGTTTAAAAAAATAATTTTAACCACCAAAGGGGGTGAGGGAGGTAGTCTCCGAACGAAATAGTTACGTCACCAGCACGGAAAGACTAGTGTGTTGTTACTAGGTTGAATATTAATACAGTGATATCTTGCAAGCTATTAATGAAAACACAAAGCATTAGTATTACGAAAACAGCAAAACATTCTAGTGATATATGTATAGCCTTAATAACATATATTTAGATGGCTATTGGCTCTATTAGAGCCACAATAATTGTTGTAGGTATATGTTCTAGGTTGTAATTATATTATAAAGGCACTCGAGAGTCTATTTTGCATTAATTCAGCCACCCCCCCCCCCCCCCCCCCCCCCCACCCCCTTCCCATTTTTGCCAAATTTTCTCATAACATACTAATTTTAGAAAATTGTCAAGCAATTTAAATTACTTTTATATTAAAATGGTAAAATCCAAAGTATTCATTAGATCAAGGGTCTCAAACTCAAATCAAAATCATCATGGGGGCCGCAGGAGGTAGTGTCTGAGTGAGACTGGGCCGCATCAAGTATTCCACAAAAAAGCGATTACAACTGTTAGAATCTGCTCAACCTTTATAAATAACAATAAAAACATTCAGTGTTCTCAAGAACTCGGATTCACTTTCTTCCACCTACTCACTGTTGCCAGAGACCTGGCAGTGCTTCTTTTTACACAGCTGAGCAACTTTGGCTTGAGTGAGGAAGCAACTAAGCCTCTCATTATAGCTTGAAGAGCCTCATCAGTAAGTTTGGCCCTGAACTTTGACTTGTTAAAGTGCATAGTGGAAAAGAGCTATTTACACAGATAGGTACTCCCAAAAAGTCGTATGATCCTCTTGAACAACCTAAAAATTTCAGGGAAGGTGGAGGGGAATGCAATAAAAAGTTATTTTAAACTTTCGGCCTACTTTCGGCTTCGGCCGAAATCAGAAAATCACTTTCGGTCGGTCTCTAGTGCAAACATTTTATTTGAAAAATGGGTCATGGGATAGGAAATTATTTACAATGATAAAGCATGAGGCTTAGCAAAACATTTATCACACATAGGAAATGAATGAATTAATACAAGTAACAATGAATAAGCCCTTTCTCAACAAATTCTTTGCTACAGATGGACTTTTAACCCAGCGGTCCTGACCAAAGTGAGCACAGCTAGCAGCTCCACATCCATTGCCAGTGATACTAGCCTAGCTGCACAGTTTGCTGTTGGGGATCTGGTCCAGATATGCAGCGATACAGAGAGGATCAAAGTGCTGCAGCGTGGGCATGGGGAATGGGCAGAAGCTATGCTTCCAGTAAGTGAAGAAATTGATAAATTAGGCACATTATTTTAGATCCCTTAAGGTGTGGAGAAAGATTTACCATTTCTGTGACACAAATCAAAGTGAGTTCATATTGTGGGAACAGTTCATGTGAGAGTAATTAGTAATAAAGGTAGAATTGTTATTTTTTTGTTAATTTAATTTTTTCTTAAATAAACGTAGAATTGTTCAATTCTTTAAATTTTAATTTTGTTTAAATAGAGGTAGAATTGTTTTTAAAAATGTATTTCTTCTTAAGCTCATTTAGATACGACTAGACAGCTCAGTTGAATATATGGGAAGACATTGTTAAGCATTATAAAATTAATGTTTCCTCTTTTAGACACTGGGGAAGATTGGCAGAGTGCAACAGATATATCATGACAATGATCTCAAGGTGGAGGTCTGTGGGACATCATGGACATACAACCCACTGGCCGTGACAAAAGTAGCCTCAGCTGATGGTGCTGCCATTGGCTGTTCCTCCGGAGGTGCGTTTTTCATGCAGAATTAAATGAATATCTCGTGACTAAATGCTTTCTGAATTCTTGTTAATTTTAGTTTGATAAATTTATGGAAATATAATGAAAATAATTTCTTATCAGCGGTGTCCTTAAGAGTATTTAAAATATTAAATACTTTGTCTTTGACTCTTGGCTAATTATGACTTGTGTCTTGATAACTTCGGTTGTTAACAAAGGTTTTTGTGTTTCATCTCAACAATTTGTTCATTCCCCTCCATATCAAACCCCCCCCCTCTCCCCCCACCCCACCCAATCAATATGACCTTGCTAGTTTCTAAGTAAAAGTAAAATTATTAAATAGTATTTCAAAGTAAAAAAGGCAAAACAAACTATCATTAAATATGTCAACAAAAATTAAAATGCACGCCAGAATGAGTAATGCAGAAAAATCTTTTTGATTATAAAACCTCTGATAGCAAAGGTTTTTTACTATTGGCATGCATAATAAAAAAAACAAAACATTTTAGAATTTCAATTAACACAAACTGTAAAAGAAAGTCAATACCCTATCTACATTCACTAAATTTTGGATCACATATATAACTTGGTCTGTCCTTGCTAAGTGTGAGCTTGTAAATTAGATAGTTGATGCTAATAGAGCATTTTCAAAAAACATATTGGTAAGTTTAATAATCCCCGAACATTCTCTAGTAATTAGGATTTCTATAATCAAATGCAGGTTTTTCCCTTTTTAAACTCTGGAGTATTAGAGTTTGTTATGAAGTGTAAAAAAAAAAAAATAGATTTCAAGGGAGACATTTCTGCAGTATGTTTAATAATAAAACTTATGTTTCTTCTATTTTCTCAGAACGATTAAGTGCCCTGTTAAAGAAACTGTTTGAGACCCATGTATCCGGCGATGTCAATGAAGAACTGGTCAAAGCCTCAGCTAACGGAGATGGTGTCAAGGTGGATGAAATTTTGCAAAGACCCGAGTCAGATGTGAGTCTTGCGTAATCATGCTCATGATTCCTTTCTTAACTTTACACGATGCCTAACCAGTGCTCGGATAGAATAATTTGTAAATTTAACAGCAGTTTTAATAGTCAGTTCTTTACGATGTTTGTTACTTTGATTGGTAAATATAGCGGTGGTTTTTAATACATCATTGTTGATGGTGTTTGTGGATTTGATGGTGTTCCTTGACCTTAAATGTCAAGTTCTCATTGCAGGTCAATGGTGTGTTTGCTGGACACACAGCCCTCCAAGCTGCCTCACAGAATGGTCACATTGAAGTGATCAAGGTTCTTATAAAACATGATGTCAATATGGAAGTGGAGGTAACCTATGAGATAATAAAGAATACATAAGTATTTTTTTTTGCCATGCATGTTAAAACTAAGGAGCATTTGTTGTTTTTATTTTTTAAAAAAAATTGATTGCATAGTTTATTATAATAAAGGGTTAATTTTATCAAAATTCCATTGAATCAATAATGTATATTTTTTTTCACAAATTGCTTTAACTCTGAAATTGTTCATAATTTTATGTTATAAAATTCCAAGCTTTAATATGAATACATTTTTGGAGAGAAATTGAATATTTACCTTATGATTTGGTAAACAACACAAAATTTATTACAAATTTAAATAACACATTTTAAAGTTTTACAATAAAGAGATTTTGATCAATTTTCAGGATAAAGATGGGGACAGAGCAGTACACCACGCAGCTTTTGGGGATGAACCAGCTGTTATTGAACTATTACACAGGGGTGGTGCAGACCTGAATGCTCGCAATAAACGAAGACAAACTCCTCTGCATATTGGTGTAAATAAAGGCCACATCGGGGTGGTTCGGTCTCTTCTGGACCTGGGGAGCCACCCTAGTTTACAGGTAAATTAAAAGAAAGACTAACTTATTGTGAAATAATGTCACAAATTATTTTGACTGAAAATCCATCTCTTTAAACTTAGCTTTTGGCACCTAGCACTTCTCTTTAGGTAACAATTTTACAAAAAATGGAATTTCCCTTTTATGGTTACAAATTATCATTTATTTTAATTGATATAGATTGCAGATTAAAAAAAGATTAATAAATAAAAATATCAGTGCAATCAACCAAAGTTTTTAAAAAAAAAATCTTGTCTTTGAATTATTAAAATTTTTTTGCTGTTAAGAGAAAAAAAACAAAGGGCATCCTCAGGTAGTCTCCCCTGAGTTTTTCCCCTTCCTTTCAGGTACCCCCCAAGATAGAAATGAGGCAACTAGATCCTGATTTATTATGAAAACAACACTTTCTTATCTTTCTCCTTTGTTTATGAAACAATATTTTTTCTTTAAATTCTTTTTTTTTTTTTTGGGGTTGAGATTGGAGTTTTAAAAAAAAGACTACCAACTTATAGACTACCAACTTAGAGCATTTAATAAAAAAAAAAAAATGGACACTTGGAGAAATTAGGAGACAAAAACTTGCTTTTTAAGGTTTACATGTTCTTTTTTTTTTTTTTTTTTTTTTTTTTTTTTTTTTTTTTTTTTTTTTTTTTTTTTAAATATTTTTATTTAATCTGCTGACTGTTCAAGTGTCAACAGATGTGATTTGAAAATATGGACACTTGGCTTTTTGTTCCTTTCTGAACAGGAAATAAATTTGGGGAGGGGGATGGGGGGCCTCACAATCTCTTGCATTCAAATAGTTTTAAAATATTTAAAAATAATAAACTTGTTGTTTTTCTTACAATCCCATTTCTGATAAAACAAATACACTTATGTGTATGTGCTCAATTTGTTCGTCAAAACCTTTTTTTTTTCTGCTGCTATGTGTGACATCTAGAGAGACACATCTTTAATCCCATGACAAAAAAACTGACTGCCGTTTCACCAGTTGGATGTTTGAGAGTTTTTTAATTACTCAGCTTTTTTCTTACGGGTAATTTCCCATAGCTGGGAATAATTTCTTACAAATTTAAACCATCCAGCTCTTGGTTGTGAGACGGACAACACAGTGCTATATTAGATTTGATAAATGTAATGAACTAGCAGATACATATTGTTAATAAAATTTTTAAAATATAATTTCCACAAAGGCAATTAGTTTATGCTTTAATATTCACTTTGGTTCCACATCATTTTACTTTAATCTGCAGGACTCGGAAGGGGACACAGCCCTGCACGATGCCATCAGTAAAAAACGGGATGACATGATTGCCCTTCTCCTGGAGCACACGGCCGACATCACCATCACCAACAACAACGGCTTTAATGCCCTTCATCATGCTGCACTCAGGGGTAACCCTAGGTGAGTACAGTTTTTTTTTAATGGCACACCCCATGGGGTATGTATTTCCCAATAGCTTCGCACCATACGTTATCTCAGCATGGCACAGTGAAGAACACCATAGACCAAGTTGGTTGCTGTGATGTGGCACATAAATTATTTTTAAAAGTAATGAGGCTACTTTTTATTCCAACCAATAAATCATCAAAGAGACATGGATGTATTTGAAATGATTCTATCCGTGGATGTGTTTGAAATGAATCTATCCGGTATTTAGAAAATAATAAAAATCATATTTGACACATACGCTTTCTATTTTGACCTCAGTAAATTTGAGTCCAGTTTTAAACAAACCCGAAATGAAGAAAAAAATGTTTCCTAAATTTTTATTTTTTTAAATTTAATAACTAAGAAACAAGTACAGCTGATGTCACCACATCATTGAAGCTAAGATTCATTTTCTCCACCTTGCCATATTGAAACAAACCAACATTTTTTTTTTGAAATACTGGATTGTCTTATTTTCCCCACTCAACAATAGTTTCCAAACTTAATGTTACTGTGGCACATATTGCTGCACAGACACCCCTCCTCCTTGGTTGTTTAAACCAATGCATCCCACTGCTCATTATTTCATAAAATACAATAGGCATAAAGAAACAACAAATTCTACTCGGCCTTTGAACTGGTACAAGCGCCTCTAGGGCTGTGTGCCCTTTGAACTAGTGCAAGCGCCCCCAGGGCTGCTCGCCCTTTGAACTGGTACAAGCGCCTCTAGGGCTGCGTGCCTTTTGAACTGGTACAAGCACCTCTAGGGTTAAGGCTCTTTGAACTGGTACAAGTGCCTCTAGGGCTGCATGCCCTTTGAACTGGTACAAGCTCCTCTAGGGCTGCGTGCCCTTTGAAGTGGTACAAGCACCTCCAGGACTGCATGAACTTTGAACTGGTACAAGCTCCTCTAGGGCTGCATGACCTTTGAACTGGTACAAGCTCCTCTAGGGATGTGTGCCCTTGAACTAAAACAAGCCACTCTAGGGCTGCTGCACTTTGCTTTCAAATACTCTGCAAATGTTTCTTGCTCACCATTAGAAAACTAGTTTATGTACTGTCTCAATAGCTCACGATAGAGTTTTCACTGGTTAAGTGGGTCCCGTATTCAAAAGCTTACTAATCCAGTGTCAAACCAAATGCTGAGACATTTTAATTTTATGTGGTAGGTGCCCAACACATTAATTTTAAAAACTTGATTGAAAATATAGACAGAGAATGGAATTAATCATACATTTACATAAAAGAAAATTCTTTTTGAATTTTTATAGTGGACATGTCCTTTTCCTTTATAAATATACATTTTTCACACGCACAGAAATATTTGTTTTTTTTGGGATAAATTTAAAGACTTTTTTTGGTTCAGGGAAATGTTTAGAAATTTCCTGTTACACATTTCCCTGTTTCTTAGTTCCTTGTTATGATGGTAAATAATTAACAGACCCTGTATAGATGGAACATTTCTGCAATTGCCCTAGATAATGAAACAATACAGTGTTTCTGGCAATGTCTGGTGGAGCTATTGGGAAACAATAAAATAACAATTCTGCTGTCAGCTTTTCATGATAGTCATTGTGTACCATCATCTTTTTTTAAGACAGAACCTCTCTATGCTAACTGTCCTTATATATTTATATTGTGTTCTTGTGCCATCTCGTCTTCTGCAAGGTAAAGTATTGTAATTGTATCATTTCAAAGGGAGCATTTCTTTTTCTTCATTAAAAAATTCATTTAAATAATATGTCTGTCATAGCAACATCAAAAAAATTGTCCCTAAGTGTCACTAACAGAAAAAATTGTCCCTAAGTGTCACTAACTGCTCTCTGTAACAAAACAACCCCCCTCCCCCCCCCACCTCTTCCACCAACTTATGCATCATAAGGTTACAAAAAGTTGAGTTTGACCATCTATCTTAGAAAAAGTGTTTTTTTTTTTATGAAAAGAGATCACTATGGTAAAGAGAAGAGCTTGTTTTCAAAACACTGTATCCACCATTTTTTAAAAAAAAGAAAGAAGAAAAAACCGTACCTTCTTGTAGAGCAAACCAGGTTCCTTGAGGACATGGTAAAGATTATTTACAAGACACATGATATTCCTATTTTAGTCTTGTCTAAAAATGATTTATTTTCTAAAGATGGCAGGTAATATTTTGTCAAATGTTGAATATCTCAGAACCCCCCAAAAATGGATACACAGCATTTTGAAAATCAGCTCATCTAAATATAGATTGTCAATGGGATTGTGCCAATATTTAAACATACACCTGTCTCTATGTCTGTCATTGTCTCACATTCCAACACTCTCTGTGTTAATGTGTTACAGTAATTTCTGCTGGTTAACAAGCTCCAATCTTTTACTGTTACATTCCAACAATCTCTGTATTAATGTGTTACAGTAATTTCTTTTATTTAACAAGTTCCAATCTTTTACTGTTACATTCCAACATTCTCTGTGTTAATGTATTACAGTGATTTCTTTTATTTAACAAGTTCCAATCTTTTACTGTTACATTCCAACAATCTCTGTATTAATGTGTTACAGTAATTTCTTTTATTTAACAAGTTCCAATCTTTTACTGTTACATTCCAACATTCTCTGTGTTAATGTATTACAGTGATTTCTTTTATTTAACAAGTTCCAATCTTTTACTGTTACATTCCAACATTCTCTGTGTTAATGTATTACAGTGATTTCTTTTATTTAACAAGTTCCAATCTTTTACTGTTACATTCCAACATTCTCTGTGTTAATGTATTACAGTGATTTCTTTTATTTAACAAGTTCCAATCTTTTACTGTTACATTCCAACATTCCCTGTGTTAATGTAATAAAATGATTTCTTTTATTTAACAAGTACATTCCAACATTCTCTGTGTTAATGTATTACAGTAATTTCTGTTAGTTAACAAGCTCCAATCTTTCACTGTTACATTCCAACATTCTCTATGTTAATGTATTACGGTAATTTCTCTTTCCTCACCAGCTCTAATCTTTCACTGACATTTATCAGAAACTTTATTACCTTGAAAGCTTTAAAGTAACTTAGATTCAATTTTTTTTTCCCTTACATTTTTGTTGCTTTGTAACTTTTTTTTGGGGGGGGGGTTAAGTTTACCATTTTCTTAGAGCAACAAGTTAAACATTGCGTTGAACTAGGCACATTTAACAATGCTCACACAGTTACTTGCGAGGTAGAAGCTACAAGTTAAACATTGCGTTGAACTAGGTACATTTAACAATGCTCACACAGTTACCTGCAACTTCATGTTTTCTCTTTCCAAAGTTAATGAATTTCTTTTAAAAAAATAATTATATATGCTCTAAATAATGTGATATTTTTTAAATGTTATATACATCCATTATTCACCCATTACCACTGGCAATTCTTTCTTCTGTCCTTTTAATTATATTATACATTTGCTTTCACTAAGTATAAGGTAAGGGACATTTTAATGGATCCTATTTAAGGTATATATTGGCTGATTCCTATAGATCCCCCTGCATACATAGGAGTCAGAATGATCAATACATTGATCGTGGGCTCTTAATATACAGAGGATAGAAGAATCAAGCAATACCTTCAGTGAATATTATTTTATCATTATCGTCATCAGTGGCTCAACAGCCCATGTAGGGCCCTGGCCTGCTTCATATTATTTTAGATATACCCTTTTAGTGAAGTCTATGAAATATTTTATTTTAGCGAAACTTTTGATAACATTACATTTTCTTTTTTACTCCAATTGCTACATATGCGAGAAGTGGGCGGCAATATTGTTATTTTTTATTTTGATTTTTATGGCTAACGTTGTCTGAAATGAATCGTCACATTTTATTTCACACGAGGCTATACCATTGCCAATTCTGTCTGATTTCACATTAATTGTGTATGTGGCTCGGGATGTGTGGTGGAGACTGAGCTGCAGCGTGGGCCCTGCAACACCCTCGGCTGCAGGGGGGGGGGGGGCTCGGATATTTAAGGGGTCCAAAGTTTTGGTGGGGGGAAAGAAGTTTTTTTAAT